TAATTCGACTAACCAATCAAGATCAACTTCCCAAAAATTTTCAAAATTTACTAAACTAACAATTCAACCAATTCTAACAAAATTCATAACTTTGTCATAACTCTCTTAATTTATTTTTCAAGCATGTCACTTTCATATAAATAAACACAACACATAATCCAATTTAACAATTTTGCATATAATTTGAATCATCTCCTATAAATTTATGGCCACTAATCAAGCTAAGAATCCATGTTCTTCTTTTAATTTCACTTCCTCACATCTCTTCTCTTCATCAACCACACTGTTTAACCCTTAACTTTATTTTTATTAACATTTTCATATCAATATTTTCAAAATCTCATAACCACACTTTCCAAAAACATATACATAACATGTATTTCATAAATCCAACTAAAAACCTTGCCTCAAATACAATCACTTAAACCCTCACATTACATTAACATTCAATATCATATAATTTAAGTAAAGTATTCATTTCTTTTTCTCAACCCCCATAGTTGGCCATTTGACAAGCATTATACCCAAGTTTTATTTCAATTTTTTTATTTGAATTCACCTTTAATATCACTCAGTTCATACTAATTTAATCATATTTAAAACAACCAACACTTTCCCCAAATTTTTTTATAGACCCCGGATGTTAAAATTAGGAATTTCTTTCCTCACCCACAACCAAACTAAAAAAAAATATTTTAATTGAAAAGAAATCCTTTACCTGAGCTAAAATGACTCAAATGAATGAGTTTTTGCAATCAGTTCTAAATATCATCACCTTCTCTTGAAAAAATCAAACTTTCTCACTAAAATACACCCTCTCAACCTCTTTAAAATCTATAATTAATTGTTCTCTTTTATATAAAAATCACTTATAACTAGGGTTGTTCATGGTTCGGTTCGGTTTGGTTCAAATTACAAAACCAACCGAATCAAGTAACTTAAATTTTGAAAAATTTAAACTAGACCGAACTGAAAACTGGTTCAAACCAAACTGGTTCGGTTTGATGAAATTTGATTTTTTTACCAAGAAATCCAATCCTATCATATATGAGTTTTTTTCGGTTTAGCCAGAATCTTGTTGTTCAAATCCTGCAAATATGGCAAAGCCCTAAAAGTTTTAGCATCCGGATTAATAAAAATATTTGTTGGTAAAGAAATTTACAAAAAAAAAAAAGGACAAACTGGATTCAGGAGGCTAGCCTTCTCCTATAGGCACTAGCTGTAATCACACTTTTCACTAGGCCACCAATCTAAAGTTAAACATTTAAAATTATCATTAGTTTTTGTTTTTGCTATGGAATTTATTTTTTAGCGTGCTCAGCAGGTCAATGCAAAACAACACTAAAAACCAGAAGCACTTTGACTGTCTCTATTCTCCTTGACCTATTAAACAAGAAAACGAACCAGATCTTCCCGACAGCTTGCATAGAAATAAATAGAGAAGCCAAATAGATGGAGATATTGATTTTTGTTTGGCTTGCACAGAAGAAATGGAGATATGGGTTACACAGAAGAGATGGAGATGATGCATAGAAATAAAAAGGGAAGCCAATGAGATGGAGATGTGGGTTTTTGTTCGACTTGCGTAGAAGAGATGGAGATGTTATGCAATAATAAAAAGAGAAGCTAAAGAGATGGAGATGTGGGTGGATGTCTTAGCTTTTGAGTTTTGAGATGGAGGGTGGAGGGCGGTGGCTTTTTGTGTTATCAGTTTTGAGATGGAGAGTGGAGGGTGAGGTAATTTGTTAGGGTTAGGTTAATTGCAGTATTTAAAACCAAAATTGAATCAAATCGGCAAGATTTTATGGTTTTAAAAATCGGTTTAATCGGTTTTTCATCTCAGTTCAGTTTTCTCGATTAATTTTTTTATTTTTTCAGTTTTTTCGGTTGTTTGGTTTTTTTGAACACCCTTACTTATAGCCACTCTCCCTCACTTGAATTTGTAGAGAAATATGAGAGAATTAAGAAAAGAGATAAGGATTTTGGAGTTCTCTCCTTTCTTATAGTTGGTGGGTTTTTCTTATAAAGAAAAAGGAAGATTTTTTTTCATTTATTTACTAAAATGCCATCTTTATTAAATGTAATTTGTAAAAACCCATACTCATTGATAATATTTTTCACCCGCCTAACCTATTATCACTTTTTTATTAACATGGATATTTGGGTCAGCTTGCATGCATCTCGACTAATCCTATGGGCCTTAAAGTTAACAATCATGTAAGTCTCTAATGGTCATCATATTAGCAACCACATGACTCAAACTTGAGATTACAGGGAGAGCAAACTCCTTGGTCCTAAGCTCTTACCACTGGACCACCTATTACATGGTTACCTAACCTATTATTACTTCATCTGGTTTTAGTATAGATTATTTAAAATTTACCATAGTCTTAACAAAATTTCCTTTGAATTTTTATCATATTCAATTAAAAGCTTACGTGATTAACACGGGTTTATGTTGACTGTCAATATTCTCACGAACAAATTTAGACTTCATTTCATACATGATATTTAGCTAAATAACCAAGTACTTTCACTATTTGTCAAAAAAGTATTTTTTTGAATTTTTTTATTATTCCTCAATAAGTGATTTATGCGATTTATCATGAGGCTAACATTTCACGTACTAATATATTGCTTTATTTCATCAGAGATTTAAGCTAATTTATTGGGGATTTTCACCCCTAAACATAAAAAAAGTTTCCTTTTAATTTATTGTTTTTTGGTTGAGAATTACCTTATTTAACACTGGTTTATGATTATGGACCAGTGGTATATGCTTTCGATTTCACCCTTCATTGAAATGTTATTCTTTCTCTTATTTTATTTGTACTTTATATTCGATCTTCTTTCTTTTGATTTATATTTTAATTTATTTTGTACATTGTAAGATTTATTTCAATTTCATGTAAGATCTATTTCAATTTCACCCTTAACTTAAAACAATCTTATTATCCACTTATTTTGTTTTTGTTTAATACTTTATCTTTATTGTTTTAGATTCATATTTTTTGTTTTGAGATGTTTTGTCAAACTAAATTTTTTTCAATTTCATCTTTCAATACTTTAAATTTATGAAGTTGTTATTAATGTTTTTTTTTCAGTTTTATTTATGTGGAGTTATCTCAATCTTTTGACCTTAGTCGCAAATTTATCTATTTAGCCAGGGTTTACTCTAGATTTTTTTTTCTCAGATTTGCTCTTTTTAATTTTTTTCCTTTTTTTTATTTTCCTCTTAATATGCTTGATTGGATTGAAATGTAGCCTATTAAATGGCATGAGGATTTCATTGTAGCTCTAGAGATAAATTACTATGAATTACGATAATGGAATTACCCTTTAGTGACATAAATTTAAGCTTTCGGTTTAAAGATGTTTGGATTTTTTCATCTAACTTAGTGGTCATTAGAAGATTATTTGGGGGAGTGAATGCATCTTTTCTAATTTTTTAACATAATAAAACTACTCTTTTATCCCAAGAATCAACAAAAATTAGAACGGTTGACCAAGCGTTTTCATGCATTTTCACAACATTCGTAACAATAAAAATATCTTTATCTCCAAGATAAAAAAACGAATGGACAAGGGTATTTTAGATTTTTTTCAATTTTCAAGTATAATAAAATAACACTTTTAGCCTCAGAAAAAACAAAAAAGAAGCTTTGCCTTTGAAAGTATTTTGGTATTTTTATATAGATATTTTATATAATAAAAAGGACTATAAAGGGTGTTTTAGTATTTTTCATGTTTTATTTTTTATTTTTTAATCAAAAAGCTATGGGCACGTGTTTTTTATGCCCTAATGAATGGACAACGCTCACGTCATTAAAGAGGAGTATACTACGCTCCTCGGTGACCAAATCTAGCTATCCATTGTTTAACTGGATGCATAGTCGTGCTTTCTTTCACATGGTATGACGCTTGTAGACAGATAATGGTTGGATTGCTATCGATGATCTATTGTTTGTATTTTTTTTCTTTTCTCTCTCCTGATAACTAAAGTGCATAATTATTATCTTTGTTTTTTGTTTGTTAAATTAGACATGGTTGCCAAACCCAAGCACCCAAACCCAAGGTGCTTGGGTTTGACAACCTTGTGCAACTGTACTACAGACCATGGTACAGTCCGCTAGACTTGCACAATGAATTTTCCAATTTCTAAAAGCTTGATATGATGCTAATGTTGTCTTTTCATATAAAATTAAATTATTATTTTACCCTTTGAATGAAAAAATTGAAGCTCTGGTTATTAGGGTATTTCAGTATTTTTCATAGGTTGATTGGTTATTAAACATTTGAGTGGGAGTATGATAGTTTTTTCACAATTATTTGCATAGTAAAAATACTATTTTACTCCAAGGTTAACAAAATTAAAACTTGTTGCCTATAAATTTTTTAACCTAGCACAAACTATTAAATAGTTAAAATATATATTCTGGATAAGAAAAAAAAATAAACTTTGTATACGAGGGTGTTTTTGTTTTTTCATATTTTTTTGTGTAATTTTCTATAATAATAGGGGTATTTTAGTATTTTGACATTATTTTTAAAGTAAAAAAGATGCACAAACTATATTTACTTGAATCTGACAAACATATTATATTCAAATAACTTGAGCCTAACATGATTATTAGAGTCAAGACACTTAAATCTGACAAAAAATTTAGTGGAAGTTTAAAAATTAATCTACTTAATTAAGCTTAATAATATTATTAAAATATTTTTTATATTCTTAATTATATTTAAATTGTTTTTTAAAATATTAATATTAACCAATGCTCTGATTGTTTACTAAATAGGACCACATGAGTACTTTACTAAGGGGAGATACATTATGATATATATATATATATATATGTATATATATATACATAAATTGTTTTTAAAAATATTAATATTAACCAATGCTCTGATTGTTTACTAAATAGGACCACGAGTACTTTACTAAGGGGAGATACATTATGACACACACACACACACTAAATCGGTCCCTCCATCGGGAAATTACTAGATCTTTTTGAACAAGGGAAGTGATTAATTGAGAAATTACTTGTAAATAAAGGATTTAAAATCAAACCAAGTTCACACGTAAATCAAAGAAATACTCCAATCGACATCTGCTCTGCTCTCTCAAGCCATCACTGGACAACGTCCTTTTTCTTCTTCCGCATTTCTCTTATAATAATTATAAATAATTAAAAAAGAAACCATCTGATCTGCAATTATCCTTTCAATTCAATCGATGAGGAGGTAAATTACATAAACATCAAACAGACCTCAATCACTCAATCAATCAATTTTTTCTTTAATTTTAATTTAGTTCTGAATTTAAATATGCGAGAAGATTAGGGCACCACAGGCAGCACGGGAAGCAAGGAGGAGGAGGAGGATTATTAGCCAAACTATCGATTGCAGTCCTTTTTCTCTTGATCTGCTCTCTTTCTTTACTCTCCGCTCCATTTACTCCTAACACTAACGGATCCACCGCACCATCTCAGGTTCCTTCCTTACTTCATTTTCTATTTATTTTGTATACTTAATTCTGAACATAATATGTTTATTTATTTTTTGGTATATATATATTTTTTTTTGAGGAGCAGATAAGTGTAGAAGAACTATGGAAAAGTGCGAATTCGGGTGGGTGGAAGCCGTCATCGGCTCCACGATCTAAGTGGCCACGTATGTGTTCTTCATTTTATCAAAATACCATTTTCTATAGTAATGATGTGAGTTTGTGTTGAAGAAATGTTTTTCTCTTTTATTTTGTGGCTGCAGCTCCTCCAAAGGAGACCAATGGATATCTCCGTGTTCGTTGTAATGGCGGTTTGAATCAGCAAAGAAGCGCGGTTTGTAATCCGTTCTTGCATAACTCTCTTAACTTGTAGTAATGTTATATTTTCATACATATCTTCCAAGCATTTTTATTTTTTTTTTATTGAAAATGTAAATTGGGTGCGTAAGCTTGTCGGAATCTACTTCCATGGTTGTTCAGTGTGTTGGGAAATGGAAGGAAAATATATTTTCTTTGATTACAAGAGGGAATGTGTGTGTGTGTGTTTTTATGTATATATATAACTATGATAGATTTTAAAAAAATATACACGAGTAGAATGTAGCCAAGTTAGGTATTATATGATGGTGATACCTGGTGTAATGGATTTATTTTAAATGACTTAATATATACTACCTTGGATGTTATATAGATTTGTAATGCTGTTCTTGCTGCAAGAATCATGAACGCGACACTTGTTTTGCCTGAGTTGGATGCAAACTCCTTCTGGCATGATGACAGGTATGTGTTTTTAGAGCATCCATTCGTGAATTCATTTATATTGGGTAACTATTTGTTGCTTATTTCTAGCATTTTGGAAACATTTTGTGTTGAATCTGTTAAAAGTTATCGTTAAAGAAAGAATATTGAAGGGACCTGTTAGTGTAATTTTTTCGCTAGTTAAACTTGATTACTTTTTTTTTCCCCTAATTTGGCATCTCCTTTGTAATTTTTATAGTCCTCTGCACTTGGGTTGACATTTCTTTCTTGCTTTGTAGTGTTGTAGTAATGACCTCTATGATGTTGAACATTTAAGATGCTGCGGCTTGAGCTTCTTCTAAAATGCCGTCATTCTTATACCTTTTTAACAGGATTCACAAAGTGATTTTTCTGCTGATTCAATTTATCAACTAGTTGAGACATATTACGTTGTTGAGTGTATAATTTTCAGAATTGTAATTAAATTGTTACATATTATCTTTACCATGTACAGTGGATTTCATGGCCTCTATGATGTTGAGCATTTTATCCAGTCACTGAGATTTGATGTACAAATTGTGGAAAGAATTCCAGAAATTCATAAAAATGGGAAAACCAAGAAGATTAAAGCTTTTCAGGTAATTGTAGTAACATGTCATTCCGTTTCATCTGTAAAATTTTGTGCTTAGGCCATTTTAAGTCATCGGAAGGTCCTGAAAATATTATCATTTTTTTCATCCTTAATTTTCTCCCTTGCCTCAGTTGCGCCCCCCTAGAGATGCTCCCATTAGTTGGTATACAATTGATGCTCTGAAGAAAATGAAGGAACATGGAGCCATTTATCTAAGTCCATTTTCACATCGTTTAGCTGAAGAAATTGACAACCCTGAGTATCAACGGTTAAGGTGCAGGGTTAACTATCATGCTTTAAGATTTAAACCGCATATTATGAAGTTAAGTGAGTCAATAGTTGATAAACTACGCGCACAAGGTCACTTCATGGCTATACACCTCCGTTTTGAGATGGACATGCTGTCATTTGCTGGGTAAGCACTTAGCTATTTATTTTACAGTAGCTGTTGACATAATCAGTGCTGGCATGTATTTTTAGAAGGGACTGACCTACATGCACAAATTTCACTATCCTGTAATTTAAAGAGTGTTTTCTCTTAGCAGTTATAGGGAAGATTTATAGGGGCATTAGTATTATTTTCTCCTAGTAAACAAGTGCATCTAGACATGCTTGTGCTGTATTTTAGTGAATTGTGGAGTGCACTCTGAAGATGATTTTTCTGCTTACCAGATAACTGAACTTGGATACATGGATGAAAAAATTGAAATGTGCAGATTCCTGACAATTTTCCTGGAATTCTGTAACTGCTAATAAAAAGGACCTTCTGTAGTTTTCCTTTCAATTTGTGATTGTTTTCCATCATTTTTTCCATCAAAGTGGGCTTTTTGGTGTTTTTTGCGTTGACATATTTGTTTAGTCTGTGCCTGTGGATTTTTATGTGGCGATTCTAATCTTTCTCCATGAACTATTCTTACAACCCAGTCATGGTTTTGATCAACCAGCTTCTACCCCCATGGTATTTGTAGAGTTTTATTCCTTTTGTGAGCCATTCTACTGATTTAGATATAGTTCTGTTTTCATCTACATGGAAACTCTACTTTTGTATATCTTAAAGATCTTCCTTTTCACATTTTTAGGACTTTATCTGTCTGCTTTGGGTTGGGATTCATAGAATTAATTGGAAGACATTCCAAATATGAAAAACATAATGATGTCATTCTGAATTCTGATTGCCTTGGATATGAATGATGTGCAGGTGCTTTGACATATTTACCTCTGCAGAACAAAAAATATTGAAAAAGTATCGGAAGGAAAATTTTGCTGATAAAACACTCATTTATAAAGAAAGAAGGGCCATTGGAAAATGTCCACTAACTCCAGAAGAGGTGATCTTCTGTTCAAATGCCCATGCATTTTTCAGTCAGTTGGTTATCAACTATGCCAGCATTGAACTTACTACCACATATGAAGAATTAATACTATTGTGATGCCTCTTGCTGTAGGTTGGTCTTATCTTACGTGCCATGGGGTTCAACAATTCCACCAGGATATACCTAGCAGCTGGCGAACTGTTTGGTGGAGAGCGGTTTATGACACCATTTAGGGCCCTATTCCCTCGCCTTGAGAATCACAGTTCTGTTGATGCCAGTGAGGAACTGGCTACGAACTCTCAGGGATTGATAGGATCTGCTGTGGATTACATGGTTTGTCTTCTTGCTGACATATTTATGCCAACTTATGATGGACCAAGCAACTTTGCCAACAATCTCCTGGGTCACCGTCTGTATTATGGCTTTCGAACAAATATTAGACCTGACAGGAAAGGCCTTGCCCCAGTTTTTATTGCTCGAGAGAATGGAAGGACAGCTGGTTTTGAAGAAGCTGTTAGGCATGTTATGCTCAAAACAAACTTTGGTGGCCCCCACAAACGGATCTCACCCGAGTCATTTTATACGAATTCTTGGCCGGAATGTTTTTGTCAAATGGAAACACAGAATCCTGCTCATAAATGCCCATCAGAGAATGTCATGCAAAATTTGCATAGCCAATTAGTGAGTGAAAACATCGACGTGGAACAATACAACCGATCAGATTCAACAATATCCTTGGCAGAAAGATAGGAGCTGTCTTGTATATTTTTAGTAGTTATTTACTTCCCCAGTACTGTACTACAAATTGGAGCTAGGGGTCCAGCAACTATATTGAGTCTTTCAGGTAATTTTATATCTTAGATTATTATCTATCTGTTACCTTGAAGTTTCGCAATTATTGTTGTGCTTCATCTCATATCTTCTATCTATCAGATTACTTCGTGCATGAGAAAAGAGTATTGCTGATTCATTTCATTTGAGTTTTTCATTCTTATTATCTTGTATATAGATGTCTCCCTTTTCATCCTATATTTCAGGATCTCAGGATATCAGATGATAGCTGATTCTTGGTTCCCCTCTTTCCAGAGATCAGCTTACCAATCCATGTAAAATCTATTGGATGCTGCAGGTTCATGCTACTCAGGTTTAAATGACAATGATTCATTACAGGGAGGAAGAAGGCACATTATCTACAAATATACTAGTCAAGTACATGAATCTGATTGATTTTTGCAGCTTGTATTCATTTACACTTGCTAATACACTGGAAGACGTCTGATTGAATGTACAACATTTTTCTTGCTGTGAGTAATTACTGGCAATCTAGCCATAGCGAAGTTTGCCTTGGATTTTCATATTTATTGTTCTTTTTTACAACTATCAATCTAGTTTCCTTTCTAAAACTAAAAGAATTATTGACAACCTTTTGATCCACATGAATTGGACTTTTCTTGAACTTGGATTAGATGAGTTAGATGCTATCCATGCTCCCTAGACATTCCAAGCTCTTCTAAATTCATCTTGCTTTATACGTTTTGATTGAGCTCACTCTTCTTGGACTTGGATTAGATGAGTAAGATGCTATCTTTTATACTCCCTCGGCATCCCAAGCTCTTCTAGATTCATCCTACTTTATATCTTCAAAACAAGCCTATTCAGTATCTCTTAAAAGTTTTCTTTATTCTAGCTCTTGTAATTGTTTTGTTCGATGCCTCTGATATGGGTTTTTTGCAAGTCCTAAACATGCATGCTCTTGTAAGCAGAAAGGTAATGATTGTTCAGTTCAAAGTGAGACGTATTGAATTCAAGCTTAGCATATCCTAAGCAATCTCTCTTACAAAAAGCATATTTTTTATATATAAAAAAGAAGATACACTCATTATAGCGTTACAAAGGTGCTGTTCATGTGATTATTTGCCTACCAAAAAGGGTGATGGGTAAATATTGAGGCTTGCCTAAACGGTGAAAAATGGATGCTCAGTTACAGGTGAGACCCAGTGAGTTCAAGCCACGCTCTTTAGCTTCCTTAATTAGTACAGTGAAAACAATAAACTGCATACACAGATAGCCAACAGCATATTTACCAGCCTGTAAACGACAGCATCTCTATCATCCTGTAAATGACATTTCTGTATTTATGCCAAGTCGAAAGAATACATGACCTACAGAAGATCGAATACAGAAACATAGCTCTCTACCACCACCATGACAAATCTAAGAGACAAAGGAGCATCTCCTTATCAGTTACCTGTTACCTTCAACCAACATTTATTTACAAACACTACAACCTCAAACAAAAACGAGGAAGGGCAACAAAATTAAGTGTCTAAAAATAATTAGTGTGACGGTTGACCATGCAACTTGCCTGCGACATAGAGCAAATGACTAATGCTTGTTGGGGGGTAGTGCTGAAGTAGCTTGAGAATAGAAGTGAAATCCCCAGCTAGCAAACGCCTCCGAACGAGAATCAGCATTGCACAACATACCCTCAGCAAAGTTTCCTGCAAATGTGAAGTGTTAATTTGTTGGATTTGACAATGTTCAAATCCCAAAATTTCAACCAAGTAACGGGACAGGGGAAATGATGCACATTGTATTCCACTACATAACTGGTCAAAATAAACATTCAAGCAAGTTGTTCCACTAACGTACATTCAACACCTAACATATGCAATACCACTGCTTCTAAATAACCATCTCTGTCGGACTTTATCGTATAATCTGATCATGACACCATAGTTTTAGTCAAGGCTCTGCAATCAATGATGAATTTCCACATCACTCGCTTCTGTCTTGTAATAACAAGCCTCTTCAATATTTATAGTCTTTAGAATCATTGTGGTCCAATATTGGAGTCTAGGCTTGTCGCCAAAAGGTGGACACCTGGCACCATTGTTCTAGAAGTATGCCATCCTACAGCATTTTCAGTCTTTCATCGGCACAACAATTTCAGCACAATTTGAATGTACCACAGAAGGCCCTGAGCTATTCCAGCCATGGATATAAAAATGTTCCTCAAAGTACTCGACTGGATTATGATATAAAGAGGAACCCTACGGGAAGATAGAGGTCTAGAGAGCTTGCTCCTTCAAACCTACAATTTGGTCCTTAGAAGGTGGCATCCTTGTTCTATTTATTAAAAACCACATTCAAAGAAAAGAATAGAGAGGAAATGAATTTACCTGAGGACCCTCAGGGTCACTTAGAAGTGTGTCCCAAATGTGAATACTATCTGTGAAATTGAACTCCTGAGTCAAGAGGAGAGTAATCCACCGAAATGAATAAAACTGGGGGTTGACCTGTTATTTATTTATTTATTAAGAAAAAAGAAGCAAGCAAAATTCAGAAGAATGACTTGTCCAAAAAATAGAGCCTGCAGTGAAATGCCTCATGACTAATCTATAGTAAAAATAAATGTTGCTTAATGTTTAAATTTATGAGACCTGATGTGAGTTATAAGCACAAACCCAACTTCTACCATTTCAAAAGGCTGCCTCAAACCCATGTCAGCTGTTTTCATTCTTATATATCAAACTATTGTTTCAAATTTCTAGTAGAATACAAAATCTATATGCGACAAACCATGCCTTGATACATTGCAACTGAAATATAAATACATAACTTTGTGATAGTGTCTTACTTTGGTTGTGACCTCAAGATGACGCCAAAGTTCTTCATCATGCTCCTTCAGAAGATGCGACAATCTTGTAATAGCTGAACGAATTCCCACAACACTGTTGTCAAGTTGCTGACAGAAATGATCCCGGAATCCACTCAATAACTCAACAAAGCAGAAAAATGTGTCTGCTTCTGCACAGGCCTGCATAACTTAAATAAAAGAAATGATAAATAAAATGAAACCCAAAAAGGATAATTGAAACAAGACATTAACACCAAATCACAGGATCAATGATGACAGTGGATGAGATGCATGCTCCCACAATTATTGCTATGCAACTGTCTTCTTCTAAAAATTCATTGGTGGATCAAGATTATGCCACTGCCTAGAGATGTAAATGTACATAGAATTGATGGAAGTGTTATTGATGCATTAAATTATGCATCTCCAAATAACACTGGCATTTCATGTATTAAATCATGGAGACTTTCTATCATTCACCATTTCCACTGACGTGTACATAGAATTGGATAATGAAATATTATTCTAACAAAAAAGAAAGCAATAGCACGTACTTACCTCCATTTCCTCATCAGGATCATTTTTGAACACATAAAATAGAGGTGCCAAAATTTCGTTCATCCCTTGAACATATCGTATTCCCGGATTTAACTTTGCAAATACAATCAGTATGTTTCTCAAAGCCTCCTGAACATTATAGGCATGAATAGGTTGGCACAACTGCATTTAAGTTAATACCAATATCAGGAACAAAAGCAAAGGAAAAAAACAAGAGAACACCTGATTGGACTTTGCAAATGATGAGTCCCCAGAAAAGAAGTGCATGTCAGGGTGAGTACGTTTTACATCTCGATCAATCTGCTCTATAATCTCTGAGTCCTACAAAATGCCAAGGTTTGGAGATGCATATGTTAGACATATGGTGCAAATATTAGTATATTGTTTCGCAAAAGCACATGGTGTTGAAATATCACTTCAAGCAGACAAAAATATCATGGAAATGGGCAACGAGCTATTATCACGATGCATATCAGATCATACACACGCACTTCATACTTGCAAAACCAAACCATATCAACAGGGGGCATTCTCTGTATGTGAACACTAGCTGTCATGATGTGGAATGGTACTAAATCATATTCCCATGACATCTCAAAGAATAACAGGCAAGGCATCATTTACTTTACTTTCGTATTTGTTCTAACATTTTTTTTGTTCAAAGTTCAAAACAAAGACCTTTCGAGTACAAATCCAATACTTCTGCTCATTTCATTTTCCCTTCTCAAAGTTCCTGAAAAAGGCTCCATACTGATGCAGATTCTTTAACAGAACTGCACTAGCTAATCCATGAGAAAAGCTACAATAACTAATCCAATAAAGGCACAATAGAACAGAAAATATCCAATGTCTCAAGCATTTGTGCCATGAAGCACTTGGTTTCATACCTGAAAGAATTTATTCCAAATGCTGCTCTTCCCAAGGCTCAAAGGATGCTCCCCATGAGTTATCTTTGATCTTGCGAGGACACAACGGCTTTCAGATTTTGCATCATCATTGTCAAAACCCATCGTTTTCTCCAACCTCCTTGTTATTTCTGACTAACTAGCCACAAAAACATTCAGAATTCCAGAACCTTTGACAAGAATTAGAACATTAAACTGAAGGCAGCAGCACATCCTTATTGTGAAAAAAGACTTCACCGGTCCATTAGCTCACAATCTTACATATAACAGCCTAAGTTAATCTAGCTCAATTCATGAAAACATACATCCAGGATGGAATATAACATTTTTCCGACCTCTTCACAATGTAAACAATTTCCAATCCTGTCAAATTTGTGAGAACTTTCCAAAAAATCCATTATATAAGAATGCAAACACCATAAAAAATCATGAATAAAAAACCAGCAACAGATTGGATAACAAACACACCACACTATGTTTTATAACCTTTACTATTGTTTTATTTTCCCAATAAATGATTAACCAAATAAGGCATTAAAATTTCTGTTATTTAACTTACAGGATTCATCAAAAGCTCTTCTTTAAATCGCTTGTACTGAGATCTCTTCTTAGCCAATTCAGACGACCAAAGCGAACGATCAGGTGGTAAATACCCCAACAAGAGCTGCCATACACAATCAGTAAACTTAAATTCAGACTTAGCCCGCTAACCCAAATCAACATGCAAGACACTCGCTCCATTCAACAAGAGGAACGAGAGTATGTTACTTCAACATCCCCTAATTCTCTCAACAACCAATGTTTTTTATTTAATTTAAATTACCTTCCAAACCGTGGAACGAATACCAGCACAATCAGGTATCCCTTGAGAAGCTATCCTCCTTAATTCCCCCATATTTATCACCTTCCTTGATAACTACATCAGCAAAACAACGCAGCTTTAAATAGAAACTCAAAAATTAAAAAGGGGAGGGGAGGAAGGAAGAAAAACTTGAACTAACCTCGGTCAAAAGAAGAGCCTGATTTGAAATATCATCCGCAGAGCTCTCAGTATTATCAGCTTTTCGATTTTCTATTTTATTATTAATAATAGAATTACTACTATTATTACTGATGTTGTCGTTAACGATGCTGCTTTTTGAGTGCTTATCTTCTTTGATGTCAGGTTTTCGCGGATGATAATTATGATGATGACGAGGCGGATGCTGTTGTTCGTCTCTGGTGGCGGCAGAAG